GATTTTGAACACCCTATATTTCTGTAATTATTCTCGCTATCCCGCATGTGTAGGTATATCGATGAAATCAGCTCTTCAGAGAGAATCTAAAAATGCCAATACTGGGTATTCCATTTTGAAAAGTCTTCGTTGTTGCTACTTCATAGTAGAAGTGGCAACGACGCATCATTGAAAGACTATTATAGTCGTGTCAATTTATAAATACCAACAAATTTTCAGATTCATCTGTAGCTTGTTTTGCCAGAAACGTCTAATTACCGCTAATTGTGAAGAACCCTGTATACTATTTCGCGATATGCACTAGATTCTTGCTTGAAACTGATACGAGCATTTTAAGTAGACCGTACGCGATGACATCTAACACAGGACTGACACGATTCATCACCTCGTCCCGAATGACTAATTTGTTTCGTCACCTTTCTATCCTATCAATTCCCGAACAATTATTTATCTATGACTAATAATAATAATTATGATGATATTTGAAGTATACGGGGAGAGGAGATAAACATGGAATATACTACTGGTATAATACTGGTATTATACCGGTATAAATTAAATTTTTCAGAACTGTACATTTTTCAGAAAAAAACATGACGCGCTGTATTAGAACTATATTTTGTGTAATATTTAGTGAATTGGACGCCCTGATTTGGAATCCGAAGTGATCTTCAACCTATCTTGCCTTCGGTATACCGGGTGACACTGACACTTTTTCTGCCTTGGAGTAGATATAGAAATAGATTTATTTTCCCGCAAAGTGCCTATCACGTATTAAAAAAGATTAAAAAACTCACCAGTATGGAATCTGCATATAGTCCACATGTGAATTCTCAAAACACTTCACAAAACACCGACACAACACAGAATAACGCGTTGTAATCACTATACCGAACGATATATTCGATAGACTATTATCACTCTTTTACACAGTTGTAGAACTAAAACAATTTTTTTTCTACGGCTATACAACAAAACTGCTCAATTGCCCTTGTTTCAATGAGGTTCTTTGTATGTCATCAATTATCTGATATCACAATGACTTCTTTGTGTTATTATTTCACAAAATTTCATCTCCCATGAAATGTCAAATTTCAAGCAATGACCGATCTGTCTAATAGATGAGCATTACTTAATAGAAAATCAGATGGCTACAAGCCGAAGAAATAAAAATCCAACTGTGAAGTGAATCCCCATTGAGGATAAACTTAAGGAGGCGTGTACTTGGCCAGATAGCCCAGGCAGCTAAGGCCATTCAAATTGAGGGAAGAAGAAGAAGAAGAAGAAGAAATAAAAAAATGTCACTTTTATATGTTACAGCCATAGAAAAAGTATAGTGTATAACTCGCACGGAATGCCAATTTCCGTGCTCGTTAAACAATACAGGTTTTTCACGATGAGCGTTAATTACGTTTGATTTTTGTATTCTTCCTGAAGAGCTAATTTCACCGATGTACCACACACGGGGGCTAGTGGGAATGATTACAGAAATATAGGCTGTTCAGAATCGAGATTTTACAATTTTAGGATTTTTTGTATCGAAACCTTCATTATCGGTCAAAACGGCTTTCATGTCCCTATCTTAACCTTTGATTCACTATTTACTTACATTTGATTGTAACATATACAGGGTGATCAGAATCATGAATCCACCCTGTATTTGTTGCAATTAAATGTCGGTAGATAGTTAATCAAAAGTTGAGATGGGGATATGGAAGCCGTTTTGACCAATAATGAGTTTCGACAAAAAAAATCCTAAAGTAGAAAAATCTCGATTTTGAACACCCTATATCTGTAATCATTCCCGCTAGACCCCAAGTGTGATGCATTGATGAAATCAGCTCTTCAGGGAAAATCTAAAAATGCAATGAAATAACGGGTGTTCCATTTGAAAAGTCATAGTTGTTGCTACTATCTAGTAGAAGTGGTAACGCCGCTTCGTTTAAAATATTTTAGACGTGTAGATCATGTAAATTTATACATACCATCAAATTTTCAGATTCATCTGTTGCTAGGTACGCCAGAAACGTCTAATTAAAGCTAATTGTGAATAACCATGTAAACTATTCCACGATATGCACTAGTGACTAGATTCTTGCTTGAAACTGATACGAGAACTTTTGAGCAGACCGAACGCGATGACATCTAACATAGGACTGACACGATTCAAAACCTCGTCTTCAATGACTAATTAGTTGCGTCACCTTTCGATCCTATCAATTCCCGAAACAAGTATTTATCTATGACTAATAATAATAATGATGATGGAACATGGAATATACTACAGATATAAAGGGTAATTTGAAACGATAATCTCAACGCGAACTTTTGGTCAACTTTGAGGGATTTGAGGGATATCTAGGTGTATATTATGAAATTACTTCGATACATCACACATGTTCCTTGCCGGTTCAATTTCAACTGATTGAGTTACCATTTTTCATTCGAATAAATTGGTAAAATAAATTTCAAAATTGAATTGAATGTTACAAAAGCATTATGAACTGACACGGTGTTATATTATTATTCGGATCAAAAACTGTTGTGTTGAAAAAGAATCATACTCCAATCTAAAACATAATGAAGCTAAGTTTAAATACTTTCTTTTGCCACAGCGCGTTAAATAGTTAGGATGAAAGAGTAAATTTGGTTTTTTCTGTATAATGATCAAGCCATCAGCTTTTCTTAGAGAACTGAAAAACAGGATAATATTCCGAATCCTGAATCTACAATTTCACCAAAATCTGAAAGAATTATAAAAGTTACATGGCGATCGATTTTGTTAAATCTTATTGCCGGGTTGTTATACCGGTGAGTCTAAGTTGGCTCTCAAAGGAAACTGTTTTTTCTATTTTTTGTTCATGGAATCTAGAGATTATGTATTCTACGCCAATTATGCTGTATTATTTTCACTTATAATTACACAAAAGCAACTTTTTTCTTGGAGTAAACATTTTAATGAGAATTTTTTTGTCTGGACACGAGTGCCACCTAGGGTAGAAGGAAAGAAACACTCCAAAACAAATTCCACCTCGCAGTGGCCGAACGTCTCGTGGGTTATTAATGCTGGGCTGTGTATACGTTAGGTCAGGTTCGCACCAGATGGTGGCCATGAAGCCAGTCAGTAGATGGTCCAGCGTTCCTGAACAAATCAAGCATAATTGAGCATTTAGGAAAGAGACACTTGCAATCTTATTGGTAGTAGTTGTTGTTCTCTCGATATCTACCAGTTTCGTTCATATATGAACATTTGTGGAAATTACTGAGCTTTGCTTATTTATTCGATTATAATTCAGTTTTACCTCCCTTATAGAGCAACAAATTCATAGCAAAATATTATGGCCGATATATCGGTGTTGGCCGATGTCGGTGTCGGTCCTATACAATCATATCGGTCGATCCCTACTCATGTTGCGAGAACCTGTATTGTTATTATTATCGTATGTAATAAAACCAGTGTATTGATGATTATCGAAATACTAATATCTACAATTTTGAGAAACAATTATGTGACTTTGTTTGACTCGCGAAATTAGCATTTGCGAGGCGTAGCGTCCAGCGAAGTGTCACTTTCGATCCTAATGAAACATTATACTATTGAAAGATAAAACATGATATACTTTTTTACTCATTGACGGATTTGTCAGAATGATCTTTTCAAGGTCGTCAAATCAGAAAGTCTGTTTCACTCCGAGTTATCGCAGAAAAAAAACAGTGGAAGTAACACACCAGTTCAATTATTGTTTGTGTTAGTTGATACCTATTTCTGATATTTTATTACAGATGATGAAGAATCGCAAAAAATGGAAATTGTGGTTTTTAGAGGATGCGCATCTGAAATTCAACAAAATATTATAGTCACTGTCACTTTTCCAACTATTTCATGTTATTATTGCTCCTCTTCATTTCAAGACATTCATTTAACACAAGCTTTCTAGGTATAAGTTGACATATAAATGCGCCTTTACAATATCTCATCTACGATTTTTTTATTTTTACATACTTGGTTGGATTATCTCAATGGGCTTATATCACAAAAAATTTTTATTCCATAATTCGATAGAACTCACCCAAACTAGCTCACCACAGCAAACCGTTTATCGCTGTGAGCTCCCTACATTTTATAAAAAAATATTGAAATCCCCGATTTTTCGAACCTCTGAAAACGAGGCGATGATGTGACGTCAAAACCCTAATACTGAAACAGGACTATTCCAGACAGAGATGAATGATACATGATTTCTGGCAGAGTGAATTAGGGCGAGATCACAGTTGAAAGAATTAATATATCAGTTGCCTCAGTCTTCGTCCGGCGTTTGGTATTTTCTTTTAACTATGGCTAGATGAGGTTTCTACGTCATAAGAGGGTCCTTTTTCAGATGATACTATTATTTATGTCCAAAAATTGAACATTCCAGTAAATTTTTCGATCGAATGATGTCGTCAATCATTATTCATGTATGAAAGGATCATTATAAACATGGTTTGAGTTGAAAGTTGTACCAAGGTGTACACGTCCATTGAGTCGGAAGAAAGAGAACGATATTTTTTACCACACTCTGTACCTCGGAAACATAATAGTTTGGGATATTTACGTTCAAAGAAACTTTCATCTCTTGAAGTGTGTTCCACATATCATACAGCCTACATAATTGTTGTCAATCCATTGTAAATTTCGAAAAGTGTCACATTACATGGGAACCGTGGTCTTGCGGTCTAAGGGCTCAACTTGCTAGATAGCCCTTCAAGGTGTTAGAGGTGTTGTTGCTTCGAACCTGGCTATCGGCCGATCATTTTTTATAAACATGCGTGGTTCACTGCCCTTATCTTGTTAGCATCTGAGCGCCCAAGAGATTGTTCAAAATCTTTTATAAGCTGAGTTCCTCTTTTCTCAATTGCGCACAAGTTTCAACTTTTGGACATAGTTTCCAATCTTGAAGTAGCATAGTACAAAATAAAAAAGTGCGAATGTCAACATTGAAAATTTTGATTGATTTCAGGTTCCAGCTAGCCGAATGATGAAAGCTCCAAGTGAGAGAGCGAGATTATACTTCTTACTCGCTTGGTTCCATGCTATTGTCCAGGAAAGACTACGTTATTGTCCATTGGGATGGTCGAAATATTATGAGTTCAGCGAGTCTGACTTACGAGTGGCCTGTGATACTTTGGATACGTGGATCGATTCTACAGCTATGGTAAGATGAAAGTTGAATATTATACTGGGATATTTATGGGATTTAAAAATCAGAAAAAAATTCTGTTATTTACGGATTATTTTCCTTAGCAAAGGTTGATTGACTTCCACAATATTTTAGGGTCGAACCAATCTTCCTCCAGAGAAAGTCCCATGGGATGCCTTGGTTACACTTCTCTCTCAATCCATTTACGGTGGAAAGATCGACAACGATTTCGATCAGAGACTTTTACATTCCTTCTTGAACAAAATGTTCACGCCGAAAAGCTTCGAGAGCGACTTTGCTCTGGTTGCCAATATCGACAATCTTCCTGGAGGAAATCGTCATATTACGATGCCTGATGGTACGAGACGAGACCATTTCTTAAAGTGGATCGAAAGCCTGGCAGATCGACAAACTCCAGCGTGGTTAGGTAAGTGTTCTGCTTACATTTTCACTTAGCTATTTGTCCACCGATAATAAACGTAACGAATTTACTTAATTGATAACGTAACTAGTTTCGGCCCACGGCCATCTTCAGAAGTGGGAAAGTATGTAAAAACTACCTCAACAGCACATGTTAAACTAAGGGAAGCAAGTAGGAAAATATATGTAAATAAATAAAAAAGGGTACTTGAAAGTGATTATGGAGTTTTAAATCTAGAGAAAGTCCACAAGAACCATAATACAATTTGGGTCAAAATTCAGAAGGAATAATTAAATAATAAATTGGAAATTCTGTTCCATAAGATTTATCACTATATGTAATACAAGCCAGTCCAAGGGAGCAGGTAACCTACACAAAAAAAATATGGTCCACCGACTTGATATTTTATTTTGGTTTACTTAAAACATACTTGGACCACTTTGACCACATGGATGATTTCACTCTTTTTGGTTTGTTTGAATACCAATGGGAAAGTTGATTATATTGAAAAAAATACTTCTTCCTGAATTTTATGAGACACGCTAAGTAATTTCTTAGGTTGAATGATTTTTTTCTTGTAATCCTTTCCTGATTAGTCAAAATGTAGGAACCTAATTATTTACGAGATAATTAAGTAGTATAGCTTCAATACTCAAAGTATAATCTTGAAATTGATAGACTCAAAAGTAAAATTCAAACCCAAAAAAGTCTATTATTTTCATTGTTTCCATGTGTCCAAGATATTAAGCGAATAAAATCCGGCACCGGGCCCGCATTTCTACCTGATACCAGACACTCATTGCTGCGTCTTTATTGAGGTTATGTAATCATTATTATCTGTTTTCGTTGAATTTATTGATTCTCTTGTTCTGGAACACCCAGTATATGAAAATTATAGAGGCATGAAAAAACATTCAGAAGAGTATCACCATTAGTGCCATGAATTGAATAGAATCTGAACAAAATAAATGTTTGCTTATTTTATTTGTCTAGGTCTTCCTAACAATGCAGAAAAGGTCTTGTTGACCACGAGGGGTACTGATTTGATAGGAAAACTGCTGAAAATGCAGCAATTGGAAGACGACGACGAACTGGCTTACTCCGTCGATGATAGTTCTCCAACCGACCCGGCGCAAGTTGATGGTCGGCCATCTTGGATGAAGACCTTGCACAATAGTGCTCTAACCTGGGTCAAACTTTTGCCGACTTCACTGCAAACGTTGAGAAGGACCGTGGAAAACATCAAGGACCCTCTTTATAGGTATTTCGAGAGAGAGGTCAATTCCGCATCGAAACTGCTTACCGATGTTTTGCACGATCTTAACGATGTTCTATTGATTTGTCAGGTGAGAAAACTGTGAGAATGAAATCAAAATATGCATTTTTAACTCATTTTTCTTCAAACGTCAGGAATTCTGGTATTTTGTACGTCAATACTTTCTCATGACATCTTATGACATTCAATAGCAGAGGGTAAAATAGCGTCGCTAGGATACTTGTTTTTTCTCCTCTACTAACCAGTAATGCGAGCAGAAAAGAAAAAGAAGATTCCACAACCTAGTCTAGAGACTCACAAGACGACTGTCATTAGTTTTTTTTTTTTTTTTGAAAGATGAATATATTTTTTTTAATATGAAACTCAAATCATTATTTACCTGTTCACTTCATAGTATTGCCATATTTGTGGTGTGGTCGTTTATCGTCTTAATTTTAGGTGGAACACTTGAACTCCAAGTCTGACATGATTTTATGACGAAAAATCAACAGGAATTTGTTGGAAATGTGATGAAAAATATTTATGAATAAATAATCACATCACAATTATTTATGCGACTCTAATAGCGATTTCTTTTGGAATGAACTGGTGGAGTGTTTCTGCGCTCAATGTATATGCTTCCTTTTTACTCACATGTGTTAAATAGAGGTAAATATACACTCCGTGAAGAAACACTCCACCAGTTCCTGCCAATAGTATACATAACCTAACTACAGTGAAAAGTTGAAAGTCGTAGATACACGTTGACGACACAGCAGAAGCAATAATTCACATAGCTGGGACTTTTTCCACAGGCAGTAGGTATTTCAGATCAAAGGGGCATCTGCTTGATATGGTAACGAGATTTTTTTTTCATTAACGTTTGAAGAAAAATGTTTTATTGGAAGGTTAAGAACTTTCCGTGACTAGTTTGTAATTGACGGATTCGCTCGTTCATCTGCAATTCATTCAAACACGCCACGAAAAGTAACACTTAACCTCCATATAAAATATACTATTTTTGTCATAGGGAGAGAAGAAACAAACTAATTACCATCGTGTGATGTTGGGGGAATTGGTTAGAGGAATTATACCTGTCAATTGGCACCGTTACACCATACCTAAGGGATGTACAGTCATTCAGTGGATCACCGATTTCAGTCAACGGGTGAAACAACTTCAGCATGTTTCTCAACTCGTGTCGACAGCTGGTGCAAAAGAATTACAGGTTCGTGATCTAAAGTGTTGAATTAATTATCAATTTGGATTCCTGTTTAATGTTTTCGAAAATGGTTTGTTCCTTGAAGTTGATTGCCTCGTTTTTTATCGTGTCTCAACAAGTTCTATTTTCAGCAACTTGACATTCTTTGCTAATTACAAACAGAACATGAGAAATATTATTACATTTACTGATAACCACCGACCTATTAACCTAAGCACTAGTGTCTAATTCCAAACACCGGGCTCACCTGGTGCACGGATGGGTCTCGTGTTGGGAATCTCACTGGTGCTGTCGTATACGGGCCAAGAACAAAGACGAGGAAGAGTTTCAGCACCTTGGACAATTTGCCACTGTATTCCAGGCTGGGGTTTTCGTCATCCTTGCCTGCACACAAAAGATCAAACGACGCCATATCAGAGGCAAGCACATCTACTGCTCCGATAGTCAGGCCGCTCTCAAAGCTCTACGAGCACCAAGAGTGATCTCTCGGTTGGTTTTAGATTGCAAACGGAACCTTGCTGGGATAGCAAGGAAAAACCGTATCGAACTACTATGGTTTCCTGGACATAGTGGGATAGATGGCAATGAAAGAGCCGATGCTCTAGCGAGGCAAGGTTCTTCGGCCCGTCCTGCGGGCCCAGAGCCAATTGTGAGCATTTCTCTCTGCAAAGGACTGCGAAAACTTGAAGAAATTTTGACAGAGATGTTCAGTCGGTAATGGACTGAATCAAGCGGTATGAGGTAGGCGATGACCTTCATTGAAAGGCGTTCGATAAGTCTCACCCATTCCCATCTGAATATACGAAGAAGCCAATGCCGAGTTGTCACTGGTTTACTAACTGAACACTGCCACCTAAACAGACATCTAAACATTCTGGGTATCTCCGATGACCCAACTTTCCGTTTATGTCTCGAAAACGACGAAACTCCCATCCACATCATATGTGAATGTACTGCGCTGATACAGCTCAGATGGCGGAGTTTCGGACACACTACTCTTCCAGTGGAAGAAGTGCCAAACATTCCGGCTACCGACATCCTTGCCTTCGGCAGAACTGCGGGACTCTTGTGAAGGATGCCACACTCACGGGGCGACACTATGGAACCACACTAGCGGTCTAGCTGTCTGGTCTTCGACAAGTCCCCCCGACGCCTACCGTTCTTGGCGTATTTGTTATCCTACCATGTGAACTGCCAGCGGATTTGGTTTTTCCATAGCAGACCCTTATGAATCGATTACTACATTGAATGACGGGGATACTAAGAGCAGTGATTCTAATCGTATTTTAGGTACACGTCAAGAACCAGGACATGAACTATACTATCATTTCAACGTATATTTGATAATAGACTTCAAGTGTTTTGTACTGGATGAAATCTGATTAACGCCTTGGTAGTGATATAGTATATAGAGTATATTATACTCCTAGGGTGAGAAGTGAGCTTTATATAAGTATGCGCCTCAGGATATAAATTACGAGACATGGAATAGCATTCTCACCTGAGGAATGTTTAAGATTGTTTTCTCTACTAACACAAAGTACCAACATACTATATAAATCCATATTTCCATTTTTACTGAAGGTTATCACGTCAATTATGATAATCTCAAGTATTCTTTCACAACTTGAATAATTGCTATTATCTGTAGTGACTTGTAGTCTCAACTATATTTGGTTTACAATTTGCTGTTGGTTGCATAGACTCATAGAGTTACTGTGGTAGATACGCATACTTACTATTGATATTTTTTGATTTACCCCTGTTAAAAACATATAACTTCTCAGAGGAATTCCCTGATTAATGATAATTCCTTAGGTAAGTCGTGGAAAATAGTATTATTACCACCACAGGATGTTATATGTTGGTCTCTGGTTAGCATTCCTCATGTATTTTTTTTTTTCATTTTTCAGAGTTTCCCTGTTTGGTTGGGAGGGCTGCTGAACCCCGAAGCATACATAACTGCTACAAGGCAATGTGTGGCTCAAGCTAATAGTTGGCCACTGGAAGAGCTTCATTTAGATGTGACCATTACAGATTCCAGTGACAAATCTTCCATTCCTAGCGATTGCTTTGCCGTTATTGGTAAGTTTCGATTTATTTCATGAATGAATGTGTCACTTTGAGATCAAGCTCAAATTCAGTGATGATGATAGGTTTGGCGAACAAGCAGAATTAACCAACTCAATAAGATTTGTTGTTGACAATAAGTCATACGGCAAATCCGCATCAAGTGTCTCTAAAGGAAATTAGTTTGATAAAAGTTTAGTAAATGCATTTGAAATGTTTTTGTTTTTATAATCATATTATTTAGGTATCAAACTACAAGGAGCCCAATGCAGGAACAACCAACTTCTTCTCACGTCGAGCATCATGATTGAATTACCAAGTACACTTCTTCGCTGGGTTAGAGTTATCGGTGAAGAAAAACATAAGGAAGGGAAATTATCTTTGCCGCTTTATCTCAACTCAACACGTACTGAACTGTTATATACAGTGGAACTTAATATTGCAGCTGGGCAAGACCCTCACAGTTTCTATGAAAGAGGCGTAGCTTTACTTACATCTACTTCATTAAATTAATTTTATTCTATTTGTGTAACATGTTATTCAAGCTTTAATGTCTTTAATGTTATTTATGTTTTTCAAGATATAGCAGTTATTTTAATAGTAAATATACATACTAAAATATAGGTTGATCATTTCCGCAGCATATAACCATTGTCGATTTAAATAGAGAAGTTTTACCACTCGCCTACTAACTAGGTCTTCCATTTAGATCGACAATGAAAAACTAATCATAGGCGAAAGAGAATATGCAGTGCGCGCTGAATGGTAGTGAGACAGGAATAAGAGGACTTCATCAAATATAAATAGCAATTTATTGAATTCAAATATTACAAAATAAAATAATGGATGAAAATCTCTCCTCGGTCTTCGCTGAAAATTATCACATTGAATAAAATTACCAATCTAAGTTATCTTGCTAACATACTGAACTAAAGCGTAAACTAAAAGGAATAGAAACCTGTTGGTACATAAATCGCTATCACAATACCAACAGCCTTAATTTATAATCACAATCCAAATTGAATTATTTAATTTACTTAAAATGCCATGAAAAAAATCTATTTTTCCACGATATCCCAACAAAATCACTTTCAATTTTTTTTCTGTTCGATTCCTCAACAGAATTACAGTGAATAGTTGAAATTTAACACAGTATCTATTCCACAGCAATGATATATGGTAAATCTTCCACTTGTTCCGGCTAAGTCTCATGGTCAACTTGTTTTTATGTAATTTAATTGGTATAGTCCAAGCAAAATAAGTTTGAAGTTGAATGAACCCTTCTGCATGGTATCAAAACACTTCATTGGTGGAACAATTCGCTAGATAATGAATTAGATGCATTTCATGAGTTTCAGCCGAAACAAAACACTCACGTTTCACGGTTTCACCGACTTACCCATCTTTTACATGTACATAACCGTTGAGACTGATTCAAATTTATGAGCACAAGACTGACAATTATTGGCACTTCCCAATGCAGCGTTTTCGGTTTTCACGTCGCATGTCACGTTACACACTAGAAACGATCAATTCGTAAAGAAAACGAAGATAACACAGTGAAAATAAAATGAATCAGAGCAAAAGTTTATTGAACTTGCAGTCAAAATTTCCTCGAACATAAATGACTTGCAGCAACGTCAAAAAATGTAAATATTCAAACTTCATTAGCGTCAAATATGTGACTTCATGCAACGCGAACGGAAAAAACGCTGCATTGGGAACTCACCTTTATAGAAGGGGTTTTAGGAACATTTTACTTGTAAAATGTCTACACCAAATTGTAAATTTCAATTAAAAAAAAGATGATTAAATGATTAATGTGACATTGCAAGCCCAAATCCGGTAACCAATATTCATTCAAATGAGTCAGTAGTAGTGAAACACTATGTGACGACTTCCAAATAATGTTTGGTATGTATATATGATCAACTATGAAGAACAAAGTCTAAACAAAGAAATATCACAAAAAAAACTGAATAAAATTGGTAGCACCTACAATATTTCTATTCACAACAAAAGCTTTGGAGCACCACTTTCTAGGTTGGGTTTACAATTTGCTCAAGGTTTAAACACGCATTTGCTAACAATAACTTCACAATTCAGGAATATCTTCGATAGCTACAATCGGGTCTCGCCAGAAGATATTTTGGGAATAATCATTCGCTGCTTCTACACGGGAAGGAAACAGCTGATCAACTATTATACTCATATTCGGATAACTGAAAGAAAAAGATTATTAGATTTTGATCTTAAATCCACTTGTGCAGAAGATGGAAAACTCTCAAATAAATGAAATTAACTGTATTATCCTTCTATTAGCAACAAATAAAGAACAAATGAGAAAACTGAGACTGATATGTTATAACAGACAGTATATAACTGATATACTTCGAGAACATCAAATTTGAAAATAAAATAGTTATTTATGTACCAAAACTGTCTAGTGTCTTAGACACTAGACAGTTTTTCGCCGAGGTGCATATTAAATTTTTTCGTCGACCTCACTTGAATCCTCATCACGGTTCTATTCACACATATCGGAGATTACGTGAATAATTAATTTGACAACAGCAAATGGCAGTTGCTGTCAACTCACTCTCCGCGCGGACCAGCGTTGCCAGCTCGATTTTTATTTCATCAGTAAATACCTTGTCGAAAATTCAGATCTATTTTATGCTAAACTAATTTCAAGAAAGGATAATGAAATGAACCTACGACGTCAGAACATCATGTCTTTTAGTGAACAGAAAAGTAACCTATTTCCAACAAAATAGAAACAAACAAAACAAATCAATTTAAAAATACTCACAAATATCACAAAATACTGTGACATAGGTACTTATAAGATATGAGTATATAAAAAACAGGAGCAAATAGTGAAAATGAACAACAAAAATAAGAAACAAATAAAAAAAACAAACATAAGAAACAAACTGTTATAACAGAGGTATTATATAAAAAATTGAATTTGATCTGAATCAGATGAAGTATTGTGCTTTTTTTGGTTTAAGGCTGTATGACACCTGTTAAATTTGATGACAAATATGATAACAAAAATATTTTTTATTTGCCATAGAGTATGAATATTTATAATATCAAAAAATTTAGAACCAGTCCTATATTTTTACAAGAATGTTTGCAAATCTGCGCAAAATCAACACCTTTTTCACTGTATGACACATGAAAAATATTTTTGTCATCATTTTTGTTGACATATTTGTCATCAAATTTAACAGGTGTCATACAGCCTTTATACATATTAGTACCTATATGTAAATTTATCACTTATTTTGTGAAATTAATTCAGAGCATGCCGAAATATCATGCAATTTATAAGTGTATGTAATTAACTAAAGATTAATAATAATATAGGTGACTAAAATAATGAATAAGTGCCAATATATTTTTTAGTAGGTTAGGAAATGTTTCTGTAGATCAGTAGATCAATATGCATATCAGTGAAAATTCAGTAGAACTGGCAACCCTGGAGCGGACGAAAAGTTTTTGCGGACGAAAAGTTAAGTAGCGTTTTATTTATCCGATTCCGCCACCGGACTCACTGCATGTGTCGTTTTATTTGCAAGTTTTCCGATTCCGGTTGCTACTTTTCATTCCGTCTCACTAAAAAGGAATGATGTGGAATGACTGTTGATAGTTGTCAAAAAATGAAATTATATTGATGAAAAACGAAACATTTTGAAAGTAGGAGACGATTAGAAGACATTTTCATCGTGAGGTTCATAAGTTTATAATTATCCCAAATCTTCATTCCTAGATAAAATGAATGGGCTTATATCACAAAAAAAATGTATTTCATAATTCGATAGAACTCACCGAAACTAGCTCACTACCACAAACCGTTTCTTTGTTCCCTACGTTTTATAAAAAATTATTGAAATCCCCGATTTTTCGGACCTCTGAAAACGAGACGATGATGTGACGTCAAAACCCTAATACTGAAACAAGACTATTCCAGACAGAGATGAATGATACCTGATTTCTGACAGAGTGAATTAGCGCGAGATCACAGTTGAAAGAATTAATATATCAGTTACCTGAGTCTCCGTTGGGCGTTTTTTATTTTCTTTCAACTATGGCGAGATGAGGTTTCTACGTCATAAGAGGGTCCGTTTTCAGAAGGTACTATTATTTATGTCCAAAAATAAAACATTCCAGTTAATTTTTCGATCGAATTATGTCGTCAATCATTATTTATGTATAAAAGGATCATTATAAACATGGTTTGAGTTGAAAGTTCTACTAAGGTGTACACGTCATTCCGTTTCCATCACCGTTACCAGAATGGAACAAATAAAACGCAACTTTAGTGTTTGCTGATCAAAAGTACTTGCCTTCGGAAATGTAATTTTTTGTAGAGATCGACGAAAAAGGTATTTATAAGGGGCGCCCAACTTATAACGTTAATGTTATTTATATGATTTGAATAATAAATGATACTAATGACTAAATAAATAAAATAAATCAAGTATCGAAATTACTGTTGAATAAACACATACACGCCCACACAATAACAAAAATGCGAAATACCATATTAAAATTGGATGTTCTGTGCGATCACTATTGATTGAATAATAAACAAACTGGCAGAACAGCTGAATTCATTTCTGCTAATTTGTTCATTTCATATACAATCAATAATGATCCCACGGTATATTGTTAATAAGGACAACCACACTTGCTTACCATTTGATATTACATGCTGAAGTTCTACAGGATGCAGAAAAATCGCCCCAGGATGACACATGGTGAGACCAGGTATGGGATAATGCAACTTATTGTTTCTTAAAATTATGGCTATGCTAATCTACTTTATAGGATAATACTTTCAATTAAATTTGTTCAACATATGTATTTTCTCATTTTCCATGTTTTAGTTAAGCGTCAAATAATAATAGATCATTAGGCGAAATCTTGTTAATTTTCATCATCCGTTGTTCTGCCTATTTCACTACTAATATTCTTTCATACATAGCTCCTTGCAATATGCAAAAACTCATACCTGCATGCAAAGCCCTTCCATGACAAAATACATATGCTCTGATTTCAGTTCAATACACCCACCCCTTCAAGTTTGGGGTTGACAAAAACATCGTTTTATACTATCATGATCACAGTTCGTTTCAAACATTGTACAAATAATACTAATTTCTGTCGACTGATGATGATTCAGAGTCTGCTGAATCATCGTCATAGTCGTAGTCATATTTTGACATGATTTTATTTGACATGGGAGGAAATACGTCATTTACCACCAGGGACTGGCCCGAGTAACTGCAAAAATTAAACAAAACATTTCACTAACAGTGAATAAACTGAAAAGAAATTGCGTGCACCTTAAAAAAGCCCTACACCTTATTAACGAATTCGTTTCCCCTTACCTTGATTGGAAAGTCTGTGTTAACTCGTGCTTCAGCTCCCCTTTCGGATTGATGGTGAATATTCTAACGATGGGTATGCCGACTGCTCTATACGCCCAAACGTCCTGTTTGAAAAGTACCAATTTAGTTTGAATTCAAGTACTCCTAAAGGACAAGGAATGACAGAACATTGAATTAAAAGTTACTTACGTTTATCCTATTTCCATATCCAGCATAGAACGGATTAGAATCGGTTGGGAAAAGAGCTTTGATGTCCGACATACACGAAATTTTAAACTGCTCAGGCTTCTTCTCGATAACCTCACTGTAAAAAAAATCAAAAGTTCAAATGACTATTACATCAAATACATTTTTTCAACGGGCAAATTCAGAATGAGGCAGTCATTTGAATTATTTGACTGGAACATTCAACAATTTCATTGTTACTGTCAATTTCATCGTTACTTATGAGGATTATTTTCTCATGAAAATACTGATAGTTTTGTATCTTTAATAATAACTTAGTCAACAATTCCAGCACATCATACCGTTTTATTTAAAATGACCTGATGAATCGTGATCGTGAAACTCTCACATACTAGACGTGCATTTTTTCATGAAATTTGATAATAACAAACATAATTATAATTACAATATATCTGATTTCTATGATAGTAGCAGACTGAACATCGCGACCGACCATAAAAAATGTACCAAAGTCACAAACCTATGAAAAGCAGTTATCAATGATGTAGGATTAAGGAGGATCGGTCCATCAGGCATACTCAAATCTCCTTGTCTGATGGACTTCAGATATTCTCTTGTAGTCCTTGCCTGTCCTATCGCTCTGGCACTCAGATACAGCAGTTTATAGCCGTTGTCTCTGATTTTATTGAAAAGCTGCGCTACTCCAGTCTGAGCCCAATCTCTGCCGACTATAGGGAGAATGTGACCCAACACATCAGACCTACAAATTCAAAAAAATAATCATACCCAATAATAATTAAACACTTCTGCAGGGTGTTAACAAATAAGTGTCGAAACAAAAAACTGCAAATCCTTCATAAAAAAAATCCTTTTCGAAATTTTTCTCCAAGCTTCCGTTTTCAACATACAGGGCGCAAAGAAAAATAAAAATTTTCAGTTTTTTTGCTCTCATCTCAGGAAACGTTCGAGCTACGGAGCTGGGCCTTTACACTTCATCATCAACAATGACTACTTTTACGGCTCTTGATCAATTTCCTTGGACATGTCAGTGGCGAAGAATTCAACGCCTCGTAAGGGTTTAATCCCCCAAACTTCAAAGCCACTGTAGCAATTTTAATTTTTAATATACTACCAGTACTGTGTTGTTCATATAAGCCCTCTAATGAAAAGAACATTGAATAAAAGTGGTTAGTAATTTCCACACAAATTAATAATTGTATATAATTACCTAAAATGTCCTTATAAGGATCCGCTCGATGTGACCAGCACAATGTTTATCGATTTTTTTCCTTTACAAATTAGATAACTACTCTTGTACCTTTTTTCGTTTCTATTTATTCTTCGCAAACTTCAACTCTTTTTTTTACCTTTCAAAAACATGTCATCTCTCAAAAAATACAATATACAAGGTCATTCGAAATCACTAAAGTTACAAATTCAAATAAAAACCCAACATTCTCCCCCCTGTATTCAAATACGGCCTATCCTTGAATACATCCTTCCAAAATATCAATCGGGCACAACTTGGCAACAGGCCGACGATAAATGTTGTCTCTGATCTTGATATCGACGACACGAACTTTCCCATCTTGTCCTGGATGGACTGCAACAATTCTTCCTAGCGGCCAATTGTTTCTTGGAAGTTTGTTATCCATGACGACAACTATTTCCCCCTTCTCCAAATTTTTCTTGTCCTGGATCCATTTCGACCTTCTGCTTAGTGTTGGTAAATATTCTCGTATCCAACGATTCCAAAACTTTTCAGCCAATTGCTGTGAAAACTGCCATTGTTTTTTCAAATTGAACTCCATTTCTTTTTCAGTAAACACGATAGGTGGCTTAGCTACACTAGATGTGCCTATGAGGAAATGATTAGGAGTAAGACTCTCGGGATCTCCACAGTCTGAAGAGACATATGTAAGAGGTCTGCTGTTCACGGTATGTTCCACTTCGGCTAGTAATGTCAATAAAACTTCTTGTCTTGGCGCTTTTTCTTTGAGAATTTTCTTCAGGCCATCTTTAACTGAACGTACCATACGCTCCCAAGCTCCACCCATGTGTGGACTTCCTGGCGGAATAAATTTCCATTCGATCTCATGAGCTATCATTTTTCTCGAAATCAAATTTTCATCCAAATTTTGAATGGCTTCTTTCAGTTCCTTGTTCGCAGAAGTCATGTTTGAACCATTGTCACTCCAAATTTCAAGAGGATGTCCTCTTCTGGAAGTAAACCTTCTAATTGCTAAAATAGTCAAGTCAGTGGTAAGAGATTCTGCGAGTTCTATGTGAATTGCCCTAATTGAGAGACAGGTAAAAATCACTCCGTATCTCTTTTCTCTCCTACGTCCGATTGAAACTTCCATGGGTCCGAAATAGTCCATCCCTGTAAAACTGAATGCTCTGGGTGGTCTCTGCAGTCGCATCTTTGGAAGTTGGCCCATTTCAGGAACTTGAGGCTTCGCCCTTTTCAATCGACAGAAATTGCAATATTTGATTATATTTGTCACTAATTTCCTGGCCTGTAATATCCAGAATTTTTGCCTTATTTCATTCAGAGTTTGTTGAACACCAATATGATTGTTTCTGGAATGATAGAATTGTACAAGTAATTTTGTGAAAGCATGTTTATTGTCTAGAATGATGGGCCTTTTTGTTTGAAATGAAAACTCGGTGGAGTTGTCTGTCCTTCCTTTCAAACAGATGATGCCATTTTCTAGATATGGAGACAACTGATGAATTCTACTACTTTTTTCTACAGTTGCATTTTTCTTTAAAAGGCGTATTTCCTCTGCAAAACATTCTTCTTGTACTTTCATACACCAACTTCTTTCTGCTTTCTGCAATTCTTCTCTTTCCAACTCTTGTTTTTTCAATCCACTTCCTCTTTTCTTGATGTTATCTATAAATCTGAAAACAAAAGCTGTACTTCTTATCAATTTCATGTAGTTCGAGAATCTTTTTATTTCTGGTAGATAATCTATATTTTCTGTAACTGAAATTAACAAGATGAATTCTTGCTTGAGTTCGAATTTTTCGGGTTCTTCTTGAATGTCTGTGTCTTTCTCCTTCTCTTTCTCTTGCTTTGGCCAGCACTCTTGATTCAAGTATAAAAAATTTGGACCACGAAACCAAATGCTATTCATTTCTAGATTGATATCTTTTGTGTCTCTTGTGGCCTCATCTGCAATGTTCAGACTAGTGGGAATCCAGTGCCATTCAGGAATTTTGGTATTTTCCTGTATTTCACCTACTCTGTGTGTGATGAATGTCTTGAACATTCTTGGTTCAGATCTCAACCAACATAGAACAGTCCTCGAATCTGTCCAATAGAAAACTTGATTTATTTGAAGCGAGTGTTCTTTTTTTATCATATTCGCCAACCTTGCACCCATCACTGCAGCCTGTAGTTCCAAACGAGGAATTGTCATTGGCTTCAGAGGGGCTACTTGCGTTCTAGACATAACAAGAGACACTTGAATTCTTCCATTTTTCTCAAATCGAAAATATCCCACAGCTGCAAATGCTTGCTCACTTGCATCGCAGAAAATGTGAAGTTGTAAATTGAAATCAGATGAAAAATTCATAGCATAACATCTTTGGATCTTCATTTCTTCAATGTTCTCAAACTCATCACTCCATCGTTTCCACCTCATATATTGATTTTCGGTCACTTCATCATCCCAACCTATACCACTCCTCCATATATCTTGTAGCAGGATTTTTGCTCTTATTACGAAGTGTGCAAGGAGTCCTAGGGGATCATAAAGGGACATGACGATCTTGAGTATTTCCCTTTTCGTTGGCTGTTTTTTTCCTATGCATATCTCATTCATTCTATCGACTTGCAGAGAATATTTCAGATGGTCAGTAGAAGGAATCCACTTGAGTCCGAGAATCCTTTGGGATATGTTGTCACTTCCTTCCAGAAGTTTTTCATCACCTCTCAGTTCTTCTGGAATATTACTATAAACTTTCTTGGAATTACATACCCATCCTCTCAGTTCGAAACCTCCTTGTCTATGAATATGGATTACTTCATTCACCAGACGAATAGCCTCTTCTTCTGTATAGACACTATCCAGATAATCATCCATATAATGTCTATTGATAATTCCATCAACTGCCTGAGGATACTTCTTCTGGAATTCGGAAGCATTTCGATTTTTCACAAACTGTGCGGAAAAAGGTGAACAAACAGAACCAAAAATCATTACTTTCATTTCATAGGTAGCGATTTCTTCATTCTGGACGTTTCTCCAGAGGAATCGTTGTGCAGCACGATCTTCTTTTCTTATCGTAATCTGGTGAAACATCTCACGAATATCTGCCGAAAAGGCTACATCTTTTTCTCTGAATTTGAAAATTACGCCGACTAGAGAATTGAACAAATCAGGACCTCTCAGCAAGAAATCATTTAGACACATATTATCTACCTTAGCTGCCGCATCGAAGACGAATCTCAACTTTCCTGGCTTGTTTATATTCACGACTCCAAAATGTGGCAGATACCATTTCCTTCTCGGTTCTTCTATCTCTTCATCCACTTTTTCTGCATAATTCTTGTCCAGATATTCCTGTATCTTTCGTCTATAAGCTTTCGAGAATTCCGAATCACGAGCCATTCTTTTTTCTATATACTCCAACCTCTGAATCGCTCTCTGTTTACTTTCTGGTAAAACCAATTCATCTTTCTTCCACAATAAACCACATTCCCATCGCTTTTCATTTTCGATCCTTCTTGTGACTGTTTCAATTATTTCTGTAGCCCTCTTATCTTCTGAACCCATTACCTTTCCTTCTGGAATCTTTACTCCAAATGCTTCTGTGGAAAAATATCTCTTCACTTCTTCATGCAATTCTTCATCACATCTTTTTTGATGAGAAATGTGCAGAACGATATTGTCATCCACCCTATTTCGGAATTGTCGTAGATTACCATGTGCTATCCAACCCAATTTCGTCCTTGACAATGCTGGAGAGTTTTTCGGACCTTCAATTACCTCTCGGGTCGTGATGAGTTCCCAATGGTCTTGACCTATCAGTAATTGTGGTTTAGCTTGGTACATACTTGCGAAATCTATTTGCTTCAGGTGACCCCATTTTTCTTTCATTCTCCTACCATCAACCGACTGTCTGGGTAGGTCCAAATTCTCCACAGTGTATACATTTTCCATCGTATAAAATGTAGATTTGGATTTGTCTGAAATCTCAAAACTCACTTTTCTTGACGTCATTTTTCTACATGTGTCTTTTTGAGTCCACTTCAAACTTAAATCTGTTACTTTCCCTGGAAGACATAGTTTGTCTGCCAATTCTTGATCTAGAAGAGTAACTGTTGAAGCTTCATCAAATAGCGCGTAAACTTCAAGTTCCTCGCGAGAGGTTCTTATTATAACGGGTGTTATCTTCAATAGAATTTCCGAACAATATGATTTTGTGGTATGAGCAATTACTTCGAGGCCTGTTGTGTCTTCATTCTCAATACTTTTGTCAAATGCTTCATTATGAAGACTTTTGTGATGTACCTTTTCACAATTATTCACTCCACATTTTTTCTTTAATCGGCAAAATCTGATTCTATGAGATGTGTCCAAACAAGAGAAACATACACCTTTACTCTTTATTAAATTCCATTTATCATCTATAGAGAGATCTAAATATGTTTTGCATTTATCTATTGAGTGTTCTTCTTTGCATAAAATACATTTTTGTATGGTTTTCCTCTTCTCTTGAGAAGTAACAAGAGTTGTTTTAAATCTC